AATTTAACAATATTACCAAAGTTCTTATTCCACAATTCAGGCGATACTATAATTTATGGACGAGCCAATCAGAAGCGTTTGAGGGAGTTCAAGGTCACGGCGCCAATTTCAGTGCTTGATGCTCATGTACGATCGGTTTACACAGAATTTTAGAGAAGACTTGACAATTAGGCGGCTACAACAAATGGGACTACTTAGAAGTTCCTTTATTTGTGATTGTGGTAATTAAGTGATATGTAGACCTTGTGCAGACTACCGTGATGTCTTTCGATGTATATATATATATGTTGAAGGAAGATGTTTGCTAGAATAGGAACCTTTTATCGCTCGATCCAGATTGAGACTAAGGCATATTTTAATGATTGCCGCAAAATGTATCATAAAAGCACCAGTAACATTGGCTGCAATAATCGCAGATGTTACTGAAGCTTCATCTGTTCAGTGGTATGAGTGTTGTGGGGACATATCCATAATAAAAATGATAAACTTACACAATCGGAGTACACACAAACAAGCTATGTGGTCGAGGCTGAGAGGGTTTTAGTGACTTTATCATAGTTCCAGATACCAACGATTATGGAGCCATATAGATGAGTTCCTTCACCTTATGCATTACGATTTTGAAATCTTTGAACCTTTATCTAACTTTGACAAGTTTTCGGATCATAGAAAAGAGGTGTATCCATTTTAATTGTTCAGTTTTGTATGATATATTTTTACTCCATGCTGACCGTTTACTGATTGGCTAACATATCTCAAGGTCAATTAAGATTCGTTCCAAGGTCGCCCATAAATTATAGTCTCAGAGTAATTTATACAAAAATAATTATCTGGAACGTTAACTTATACATATGTTCCTTTGTTCTACATCGTAATGTAGTATTCATCCTGAGAAAAGATAAGGACCATGCTTGTTTCTTAATTATGATTGTCACTTTAACATTATTTTAAGATTACTAGTACTAAACACTTTTGTCAGCGTCAACACCGACAGCTGGACAGACTGACCTACTGTCTTTTTACTTGTACGGAAGAGAACAGTACACTGTACGTTGAGGAAAGTGTTCAGTGTCCCTATTCATTCAATAAGGTTTATTAAAAGATGTTACTTCCCTTCTCCCTCTATTACTTTTTGTACATGTGTCATCTTCTACAGAAATTACTTTTCTTAAGTATGTGGGATGATTTCACCGTATTTTTTCCGATTTCGTCCTCGTTACATACCCATGAAATCGATGAGTTCTTGGTTGTCACTGAATGATTGTTTGTTGTTAATGGTCTCACACTTATTTCTTCTAAATGTTTCCCGTGAGACCTACCATATAAAGAGGCTACATGCTTTCAGCATTACTCGACGTTTCCTTTTACGATTTGTTAATTCTTGCATATTACCTATTATTCTCTACTGTTCTCCATCATTCTTTCCTGGGCTTTTGAAAAAAGATTTTACTGTGTTGCGGAAAATGCTGAAGGCAGTTAGAAGGGTATATAATCAATTTTTGAGGCTATTATTAATATGGTCAAAGATAGATAGCGGCTAGCAGTGAAATCCGTTTCATCCTATTTGGGACTCGTCAGCTGGATGTACTTGCATCTCAGAGTTGATGTTCACTATGGGACTCGAACACAGTACCGTTGGCTTCAAACCCCATCGCGTTATCCACTCAGCTACTGAGTCCTGATAGCCACTTACGTGTGCAACGGGGTGAAGTTTAAATTCACTTGGTATTGTTTGGTTGAATGTTTCCATTGACGTTTAGGCCTGCAATTGATCAGTCTCTTATTGGCCGTATGTGCATACTGTGTGTATTGCCTCAATATAGCCTTAATTCACAAGTATTATAAGCAAAGATGGATAGTGGCTGGCAGTGGAATCCAGAATGTGATGTGGGCTACTTATATCGACATAAGTAGTATATATTGTAAGGAAAAGAATATCTGGCAACAGAAGATTGAGAAAAGAACAGAAATAGAAGGCAATCAGTGTGGAAATCCGGGAACAATGAAGCCTAAGACAATTAATGAACATTTTGCAAATTGAGTATCAGAGTATGGTTTTTGTATTTTATCAAGCAACTTTGTAGTTTGTGCTACATACATAATCGGTTGTCCTCACCCGTGTTCTTATTCACTACAATGTGAATCTGTACCAAGAACTTCGTTGGTGATAACTGCTTGTCCCATCAAATGTAAAGTTACCTACTCAATACATTTTTTCTGTATTCCATTCGTTGTTTCTACATAAATGGTATCTTTATTACTTTGATTGTATCCTGATTCGGTCGACTGCACAGTATTAATTACTTTAGTTATGCCAGTTACCCCTCGCAGAAGAGCATAGGCCAACCATCAGTATTCTTCATTCAAATCCGTTCCCAATAATCCATTCTAGTTCCTATTCATATCTGCTTACAATTCTCGACGCAGTGTGTTCTGTGGCCTTCCTCTTTTCTGTTTCCCTTCAGCATATGAAGTTAGGGTTCCCCTCATGATGCAGTTCGGTGATTTCCTCAATGTGTGTCCTATCCACTTCCAACGTCTTCATAAAAATCTACCTAATACTTGATTTATTCGAAATTATCAAGCCAAACCTAGGATATTGCCTAGTAGTAGGATTCATAATAAGCGCTTCGCCCTAAGACAAATGTATGAAAGCTTATTCCGTTTCATAAAACAGTGGTTAATTGGACTCGATAGCTAAGCGGATAACGCTTTAGGATAGGTAGTTGCGGAAAACTTAACCAAGTAATCCATGTCTACCTACATAGTTCAGCTGAAGTGTTACTGACCTCATGGACCTAGTGCTAAGTCTTGATTTCGCGGTCCTTAACCTACTCTCAAACCAGACATCATCAATCAAGTGGTTTTTTAGAAATACGTAATACATGTTCCAACCATCTCAGGTGAAGATTTACTACTTTATCAATTGATTTTTCATCATTACTCAATACCCTACCCATATAGTAAGTCTACTGAATTTTTTATTACATGCTGTAATTTAGACTATTAACCCACTATATAATAGAATGTGTGGGTCTGATTGAACGTACCTCTGCTCCTCAATGGTTGTCTGGCCGCCCATTGGATGTAGATACAGACAACCAATAACTTACAGTTGACTAACACATAAAATATACAATGATATTTCTGTAGTGAATGAGAACTCAGATGGGGACAACCACTTCATTATTTCTACGTCACTATCGTAACCAATGGTTGGAGACTCTAGGTGACGTGGCTCAGAATCGATCACAATGGCGTAGGTGTATACACTCTTTATCTTCCCTTAAACCTTGAGATTAAAATTGCTTCATAACTTTCTTCCTTCCTATACTATATCGTTATATACAATCTATCTTTTATATACTACCACCACTAAACTAACTATTTCTATGACTCCGGTGTTCATCTTGTTGTGCTAACGAGGTATGACAACTTGGACCGATGCATAAATGTGCCTGGTCTAACGCTGTAGCTGACTGACTTTATGCAAAATTACAGAATATCTTCGTACAATATGAAAACCATAAATTAAATGCTTCACTTGCAAATCTTCCATCAAATGTTCTTAAGTTTTATCTGATTCTTTCAATTCACAATTCCTTTCTATTTTCTTTAATTCGATCTTCTTAACCTTCTACTGTCAGTCATTTAACTTTTGGTTGAAGTTACATACTACTTATGTCGAAAGACATTAGTAGCATACCATATTTCGACTTTTAACTGATACATATACTCACCCGCTGTCCAGTGTTAGCCTCTCTTGTGCTTGTAGATTTTATTAATTATTAAGAATAGACTCTAGCAACAGCTAGTGTTTTGGTTTTTGAATATGCTCAAGTAAGTTCACAGTAATACTAGAAGAATTGGCCCGCTAAAATACTCGACTAACAGCATATCATCTATTAGAATCAAATGGATGAGAACTAACCTCAACAGCCCTAATTCAGGACTGTCTACTCAATTATTTATTTATTTGAATACATAAATATTGGTACAAATGGGCACCAGATATATGTGCGCTACACAAATCTCATTTGATTTGTGTGAGGGCTGTGGTACTATCCACGTGCCCAAACTGAAGCAGATGGTTTTCGTACGGGGCCACACCTGGAGCCTTTGACCTAAAGGTCTGATCCACAAGGCAGTGGAGCATCGTAAGGAGATGTAGTCCCATGGTAGCCGGTGATCAACAGTTGGTTCATACGGCATTTTTTCCTTCAGGATACTGGAGACCATGTGCACCATTGATTTGGAAACAGGGTTTTCCAACTCTTCTAGGTGAACTTTCTGTATCCACTAACCCGGTCAAAGCGCCGGACATTCGCTTTTCGTCCTCTCAATTTCGTAAACTACAGTAATGTTATGAGAAGGCAGTGAGTAGGACTTCCCTGCCAGAGGCTATATACGTGTGGCCATATGAGAGCATTTCGAGAGGGAGAGCGGACTCTCTCGACCGTATCAGGGCATTTGGGGGAACCTATGATCGAATACTAGTAACCTACAAATAACCTTTAATCTTGATGGTCATATTTGACGTCCATCATGTGGAAATGAGTTAACTTCTACGCAGTGAACTCGTTAGGGACAAATGTCCCCGCCTACACCACAAATAACACAAATTGGCAACTGCCCAGTATAATATAATTTTTTCTAATTTTAATAAGTCCGCCTGTAGCTCCTCCGGGGGCTACTGCCGGTAACAAACCCGGGTAAAGGAGGAGGGTTGGGCATGGGGTTGGCGACCCCATCCCGCAGAAAACCGACTCGCTAAAAAAAACGCTAACCAGAAAAAAAACTCGAACTGTCCAATACATATATTTTCCTATTAAATGAATGATTTGTGTACACTATTATACTACTCATAGTTCTTTTTAAGTAATAACAAAAAGTACTACCGAACAAACATAAGAAAAAACAGAATAGAAATCGGAAAGAAAATCTGAATAATCACTAAACACACACACACACACATTATACATATTCATTAAAAGACAATACTAATCTTGTTCTGGTAGTTTACAATCATCTTTATCTTTCCAACCATATCGCCATCTTTCTAATACATAAGTACAATCAAATAATGGTTTACCAATTTTTTTATTCACTAAATTATGTTGCATACATAACCATCCACTTAATGCATTACGACTATCCAATTTTGGTGGATGAACAATAATATCTGTGTGAATGGGAAGAAAAAATAATAATGTTGTAAGGAAAGAAAATTTCTTACTCTCTCTCTCTCTCTCACTATACCATTCTTCAAATAGATAATAACCAATATACTTACTTACACCTGGTACATCTCGTGGAGGAGTATAGGTCAACCACCAACATTATCCATCTAACTCTGTCCTCAATCATCCGTTCCAGTTCCTATTCATATCTGCTTCTATTTCCCGGTGTAATGTATTCTTTGGCCTTTCTCTTTTCTGTTTCCCTTCAGGATTACAAGTTAACTTTTACCTCGTGATGCAGTTTGGTGATTTCCTCAATGTGTAACCTATCCACTTCCAACGTCTTTTACTAATTTCCTGTTCAGATGGATGCTGATTTGCTCTCTCCCACAGTATGCTGTTGCTGATGGTATCCGACAAACGGACATTGAATATGTTGCGCAGACAACTGTTTATAAATACTTGTACCATTTTGATGATAGTTGTAGTGGTTCTCCAAGTTTGTATTGAAGATTGTGACTTTGATGTTGGTTGGCAGTTGTTTTGACTTCCATATGTTATTCAAGTGTAGGAATGCTGCCCTCAACTTCACAGTCCTTGTGTATTCATCTGCATTACATCCTCCACTTCCATCAATGATGCTATCCACGTACGTGAGAGTTTCCATCTCTTTTAAAGTTTCGCCATCAAGTGTGATTGATTTGGCGTTCTCCGTGTTGTATTTGAGGATATTGCTTTTTCCTTTGTGTATTATGAGGCCCACTGATATAGAGGTTGTTGCCAAACTGTTTGCCTTGACCTGCATTTGTTGATGTGTGTGGGATAGAAGGGTCAGGTCATTTGTGAAGTCCAAATCCTTCAATTGATTCTGAGCAGTAGGAGTTATCATTTATTTGTGTGAAGGCTAAGATACTGCCCGTGTGCCAAAATCGAAGCAGTTGTTTTTTTTTAGGAAGCCACACTCCGAGCCTGAACGCCTAATCTACAAGGCACTAGATCAACGTTAGGAGATCCAGTCCCATGGTAGCCGGTGACTAACAATAAGTCCATATGCCATTTGCTTCCTCAGGATCCTGGAGCCTATGTGCACTATTGGTTTGGAATCAGGGATTTTCAGTTCCCCTAGGTGGATTTTCTGTGTCCACCAACCTGGTTAGAGCGCCGGACATTCGCTTTTCGTCCTCTCAATTTCGTAAACAACAATAATGCCACGCGAAGGCAGTGAGTAAGATTTCTCTGGTAGAGGCTATGTACGCGTGGCGGTGTGAGAGTATTTCGAGAAAGAGGGCGGGTCCTCCCCACTTACGGCCGTACCAGGGCATTTGTAATTTATAAATACTTTTACAACCAAAATACTTGTCATCTGTTTCATCTATTTCAGTTCATTAGACAATGGAGTCATGTAGATAGATGCGACTATCTGGATGGGAACAGCGTGATAATTGTCGTTATTAGTTGAAGACTTTAAGTGATATGGCTCAGAATTGTTTGTTCACGGTTACGGATATGATCACCAAGGTAAGAAAACGTTAGTATAAAAATGCTAGTGAGTGTAACTACATAAAATTAAAACTAGCATTATTTGTTAAGAGAGGAAGGTCACTACCATGCTTCTTTTATTGAGTTGATAATAATCAATGGTAGAGTCTGAGATATACATGGATTGACCTAAGTTGACATATCACATTACTACAACGAGATGAAATGAACAACCTGAATAGCTAAAAGAGATCAAATTGGGAATACATTTTAACGGTTTGAATTATCAAAACCGATGATAGTTTTTAAGTGAAATTTGATCAGTCTTGGTTAAGGTATGTACACCCGGTACGGATTGACTCTACATAGCCTTTATGCAAAATAGATGCATTACGGTTAACAGTGGAGTCCACGAAGTACGTTTCGTCTTATTCAGGACTGATTAGCTGGATATAATTGTTGCACAAATGAGCGGCTATCTGGGATCAGTAGGTAAGTGGATAACGCGTTGACGTTTGAAACAAATGATACTGAGTTCCAGTCTAAAAGTGGACGACTCAAGGAGGTAGATGTTCACCCAGCCGACAAGAACCGAATAGAACGAAATATATGTCCTGGATTCCACTGTTAGTCACATTCCATTTGTCTGACATAAAACTGAGGATATCACTCGTAAGGACAAAATTAAAAGGTATGTATGAAAGAATGTTCGAACTCAAACTTTAAATGAATATAAAGTGATCACATTTACGTTACTGTGAACGATTTTTGGTCACATCATCTGAAGTTGCCAACGACTGAAATCACGTGGACTCAAACTAGACAGACTGCGTCTGCTAACACGACTCAGACCGGGAGTTAATAACTTCATAGGTTGATGATGTGTTTTTGGTTTGACCACCCCTCTACATTTCTTTTAACCTCAGCGTTGCACATTCGATCGTTTTACGATACATAAGGAGTATTTTGAAATAGAATCCAAAATCTGGGTATATTGACTAATGGAAAATGTAAATCATTTTGATGTGCTTCAGTAACGATGAATGTGTTTGTGCAAGCATTCTGAAGGGACGTTTTGTGTCCAGTTGAAGCGGAGTTGGAGTTTGTCATTCGATGGCTGAACTTCAGATACTTCAAACCACAAAGTCACTAAAATTGCTACTAGATCTAAGGTAACAGAGTAAGACTTCATAGAAAATACTTAGATATTTGTCTTGATAACGTCTGGCAGGATTCGAATCTTGTACTCACCCCGGATGGTGAGCAGATTGAAGTAGTTGAGAAGTTCGTGTATCTAGGTAGCTACATAAGTGCTGGTGGTGGCGTGGGTGATGAGATTGATGCACGTATAATAAGAGCCAGAGCGGCTTATGCCAATCTGGGCCATCTTTGGCGCCTTCGTGATGTTAGTCTGGCTGTAAAAGGTCGGATCTACAACGCGTCGGTGAGAGCAGTTCTGCTCTATGCTTGTGAAACCTGGCCTCTCCGAGTTGAGGATGTTAGACGACTCTCTGTGTTCGATCATCGTTGTCTCCGAAGGATTGCTGACATCCAGTGGCAACACCATGTTAGTAATGCAGAGGTTCAGCACCGTGTGTTCGGGCGCAGAGACGATAATTCAATTGATGTCACCATCCTGAAACACTGACTTCGGTGGCTTTAACATGTTTTACGAATGTCGTCCCAGAGACTTCCACGTCGTGCATTATGTGCCGACTCTGGGACTGGTTGGAAAAAGCGGAGAGGAGGTCAGTGTATGACATGGTGTCGTGGCATGAAAGAGAGCTGCAAAGGGCTAGCTTCTGTTGATCCTTCACGACTCCCTGGCTGGGGTCCGAGAGATGGTGCCACACAGTGGCTAGAGACGTTATCAGATATGGCTCAGAATAGAAGCCAGTGGCGAGAGTCTTCCGGTTGTACATTTCAGTCCGCCTTATCTTTTCATCTTTTCTCTTCCTATTTTCATTGTTTTGTGTGGCGCATATGTATCTGGTGCCCTATTGTACCAATATGTATGTGTTTAAATAAATAAATAAATAACTTGATAACGTCATCTGACTACTGTATTGATACAGTATAATACCTAAACAATGTACATTATACTTACTAGATTCAAAATCATAAGCACATTGTCGACAAGGGAAGAACTGTGCAAATGTTTGTAAAAACTTCTTCATATCTTCTTGTTGTTTCGATGTCGGATGTATAGGGTAATATGCTGCCATTGTATGCAAAAAAGTCCATGTCGCTTTTCCAAGTTCAATTTTATCCGGTGGACACTCTGAATAGAAGCAAAACATCAATCGAATTACATTAAGCATGGTTGGTGTGTACATGTTTATAACGAAAATTAATCTTTTTTCTCTTTGTCTTCAGATTGAATACTTGGTAACAAGGGATTCGAGGACCAATAAGCGTTAACGCCTTGATTGTGATTCATCAGTCAGTGTGTAAATTCGTGAAATAATAGGTCATCAGTCCTATTAACCATGAAGATGAACTAGTCAATGATCAGAATCCTGATTGAGCAATATAATATGTGATAACAATCAGTGACCTCAAGCTACAACAAAGCATCTTAAGACACAGCAGTTTAATATAATGCGCGTCTGTGGATGTGTAGGATATCACAAGTCAGTCATAATCTATATAAAGTTTGGGACAAAATATGAGTCATCCCAACTCCTCAAAACAATTGTACGATGAGACCAAGTTAATAAAATGAATAGCAAAGGAAAGTAGTAACAAAGTAATGACGATAAACATCAGAATACTGAGCATATGATTTGAAATAACAGAATGAAAAGATGTATAAATAAATATTCAAAGAAAAAGATAAAAAGTGAATGCATTTACATCAATGTGACCGATCCTGAGACATGTTACCTTACGTCTCCAACCACTGATTAATATCAATACTGAAATAACAGTATGAATACACAATTTATGATTATATAAATGAGCTAATTGTTAGCTAGAAGTTCAGGGAACAACTAATGACCAAGATGGGAATTCAATCCAACATTTCAAGCTCTTTGACAGTATACAAGTCGTTAGATGATCTCAAATACTTTTAGAAGCATGTGGAGGAAATGTAGATTTCCAGTTTTCTACACCGTAAAACGATACTTATTCTTAAGATACGCGAAGTTAGCACCGCTGCAAGCTCCAGCTTTCTGAGACTTGAGAGTGCGATCGAGGAGCCCAAGTGACAACTGCTTGATACCGGTCACACATGGCATTTTATGGGAACTTTTGGATGTGTTTGAAGGAGCTTTGCTGCCAGAAACAGAAGACCACAGGGTAAGGTGAGACGTGACATTTTCAGGGGCAACCCTTTCTAGCTACTTATTTAAATTGTAAGGAGGCAGAATTGCTGCAGATGCTAGTTGCTTGAAGGAAATACCTAACTGCTTCTCTCTCAGATCATGAGTTCTCTGATCAAAGTCTTTTCATTTGCCAGCTGACCTGCCTGTGATAAAAGGACCTAATTGGAAAAATTTCCTAGGCAATATAGCTCGTTCGGGTTGCTATAAAAGAACAAGCCCGACTAACATATCAAGGTAGCAGCTACGGTTGGGTGACCGTTTGCATGCACATGATATGATGCCTAAAGATTAGACCTAACGATGAATTCGTCATTAATTGGAGAATGAGTGACCTATAAACCAATTTCCTCCAGTCACCAATGATATTTTACCTTATTTATTGTGTTCATATTTTGTATATAAAGATATCATTTTATCACATGAAAAAGCTATTTATCTCGCTAATGGTCTTATATTTAATCTCTAATGATTCGAGGGCTTAGGCCAGTTATATGATATTGAGAATGGCCATTGAATGGTCGTGTTTTTTCAGCAAGGTTGTTTTCTACGGTTGCTTACTCTCGCCCCTTCTTTCTTCTGGTGGTTGGCTGGATTATCAAAACCTCAACATATGAAGGGAAGCACGGAATACAATGGATAGATTGCACGCATATAGACGATTTGAACTTCACAAATGACCTGACCCTTCTGTCCCATACACATCAACAAATGCAGGTCAAGGCAAACAGTGTGGCAACAACCTCTCTATCAATAGGCTTCAACATACACAAAGAGAAAAAGCAAGATCCTCAAACACAACACGGAGAACGTCAAACCAATCACGCTTGATGGAGAAACTCTATAAGAGATGGAAACTCTTACGTACGTGGACAGCATCATTGATGGAAGTGGAGGATGTAATGCAGACGAATACACAAGGACTGTGAAGTTGAGGGCAGCATTCCTACACTTGAATAACATATAGAAGTCAAAACAACTGCCAAGTAACATCAAAGTCACAATCTTCAACACGAACATCAAGACAATTTTACTCTGCAGAGTTGAAACTTGGAGAACTATTGCAACTATCATCAAAATGGTACAAGTATTTATAAACAGCCGTCTACGCAACATATTTAATGTCCGTTGGCCGGATACTATAAGCAATAGCAACTGTGGGAGAGGACAAACCAACATTCGCCTGAACAAGAAATTAGTAAAATACGATGGAAGTGGATAGGACACACATTGCCCCCAAATGCCCTGGTACGGCCAAGAGTGGGAAGAGTCTACTCTCCCTCTCGAAATGCTCTCACATGGCCAGCGAATATATAGCCTCTGCTAGGGAAGTCCTACTCATTACCTCGTGGCGGGGGTGTTGTTTACGAAAGTGAGAGGACGAAAAGCGAATGTCCGGCGCTTTAACCGGATTGGTGGACACGGAGGGTCCACCTAGGGGAGTTGGAAAACCCTGATTCCAAACCAATTGTGCACATGGGCTCCAGTATCCTGATGGAACGAATGGCGGACGAACCTGTCATTGGTCAACGGCCACCATGGGACTGCATCTGCTCACGATGCTTCACTGCCTTGTGGATCAGACCTTTTGGTCAAAGGCTCGGGGTGTGGCCCCCTAAGAAAACCACCTGCTTCGGTTTGGGCACCCGGGCAGTATCACAGCCCACACACAAATAAATGAAATGATGAATTTTATTGACGATACTATTCCTGCTCATACTAGAAGCAAGACAATTAACATTATTATTATTATTATTACCTTTATTATTATTATTATTATTATTATTATTATTATTATTATTATTATTATTTACCATATCGCTAACTCACCCCCTTTTATCCCCAATTTGTGTAACCTTACTTTTCAACTTATGCAGCAGCTCGCCCATGGTGGAAAATCTGTCCTATCTAAACGATCTCCAGTCACTGTCTGGTTGAAAGTGAATGCTTCCACCGATTATGAATACTGAAGCAGTCTTTCTGAAACCACGTACGCCGTTCAAGCTGGCTTCCTTCAATGTTCACACACTAATGCAGATCAGACAACAGATAGGGCTGGCTATGTCTTTAGAAGGTCTTAATGTTGATGTTTGTTGTCTATCCGAGACCCGTATTCAAGACTCTAGTGAAGTACTACAAATCCGCTCTCCATCTGTCGCCTCGAAAAGCTTGTTCCACCTGCGCTTATCCGGGGACCCTGTGGCATCTTCGTCTGGTCTCGCTGGCGTTGGTGTCGCACTAAGCGCTAGGGCTGAGGCAGCACTAATCGATTGGATCCCCATTAACAGTCGGTTACGTGCTGTTAGATTAGAAAGTTCCATCAAAGTGAGAAGAAATCGGCGTGAGAAACGGTGTCTTTTCGTCATCTCTGCCTATGCCCCGACAGATTGCAGCCCGGATGCAATCAAGGATGAGTTTTACCATCAGTTAACAGTTCTTCTCCAGAAAGCGCGTTCGACAGATATTGTAGTACTAGCCGGAGACTTGAATGCACAGGTCGGGCGTCTAGGCACAGAAGAGTCGTTTAGGTGGCCAATGGGGACTTGTTGGTCGCAGGACAGATAACGGGGACCGTTTGTTGCAACTGTGCACAGACCACAACCTGTTTCTGGTCAGCACTAACTTCCGGCACAGTCATCGCCGGTGTGCCACCTGGCGTCCTCCCTCTGCATCCCAAGCCTGGACTCAGATTGATCACATCGCGATCAGCTACCGCTGGCGTGGTTGTGTACAAGACTGCCGCTCCTTTTGGAGTACCTATCTTTAGTCTGATCATGCCCTGGTGTGCGCCAATCTCACCTTACTTTTCAGTGGCCGAAGGATCGACCACCACCAACGGATTGATATTAGTAAACTGGCTGCAACTTCTGTTGCAAGTAAGTATCGAGCTGAGCTAGCCTCTAGTCTAGCTACCACCCCACCGAAAAGTATAGACGAGCATTGGTTGCATCTTCACGACGCCATGAAAATGGCGAGTAAAGCCGCTTGCGGCTTCGCGAAACGTCCCGCTTACAAGCACTGGGTTTCTTCTGGCTCCTTACAACTGATGGAAGCCCGTCGGTCTACTCCGGGTGACCATGAGTTTGACCACAAACGAAGGCTGTTACGTAATGAAATCCGGCAAAGCTTGTGTAAGGACCGGGAAGCCTGGTGGTCGGAGCGTGCTAATGAGATGGAAGCAGCAGCTGCATCTGGTAACTGCCGGAAGCTCTTCCAACTCATCCGAGCCACTGGCAGCAAGAAGTCTGGTGTGAGTGAAACAATCTACGAGGATGATGGGATGCCAATCACTAACATCTCTCGACGTCTTGGACGATGGGCGGAATTCTTCGAAGGGCAGTTCAACTGGCCTGCTGCTCCGGCAACATCAACCAGCTTGTCCTGCCCCCCATGGCCGGTGACGACTGATCCACCAAACGAGGCGGAAGTCCGCAAGGAACTCCAACTCTTGAAACGTTACAAATCACCTGGCCCAGATGACTTACCTCCGGCTCTTTTTAAAGATGGTGGTGACTTTCTGACTAAGGAATTGACTGTGTTGTTTGCAAAGGTTTGGGAAGAAGAAAGTGTTCCAACATCATGGAATGAGTCGATAGTCGTCCCTATCTTTAAAAAGGTTTCACGTTGTTCCTGCAATAACTATCGGGGGATAAGTCTACTTTCGATTGCGTTCAAACTATTGGCTTCTATCATTCTTCGTAGGTTGTTTAAAACCCGAGAACGATTGACTCGCGAGGAGCAGGCTGGTTTTCGTTCTGGTCGACGATGCATTGATCACATCTTCACCCTCCGCCAAATGTTAGAACACCATCATACTTATCGCAGGCCAACAATCGTAGTGTTTCTTGATATCAGGGCGGCCTTCGATTCGTTGGACAGGACTGTTCTCTGGGATTGTCTATTGAAGAAGGGTGTGCCTGAGAAGTTCATTAACATCTTAAAGGCCCTGTATACGAACACCTCAGGCAGAGTGAGGGCATACAACCACCTTTCTCCCTTGTTCCATTCGAGCAGTGGGGTTAGGCAGGGTTGCCCGATCTCACCATTCCTCTTCAACTTTGCCATCGACGACATCCTAGAAACAGCTCTGATGGATGTAAGTAATGGCGGTGTGGATATGTTGCCTGGAGAACGACTTCTCGACCTTGAGTATGCGGATGATATTGTCTTACTGTGCGATAATGCCCAAGGCATGCAATCAGCACTTAATCAGTTGGCAATCAGTGTCCGCAGGTACGGTATGTGCTTTGCACCCTCCAAGTGCAAAGTACTCCTACAAGACTGGAAGGATTCTCATCCTGTACTCACCCCGGATGGTGAGCAGATTGAAGTAGTTGAGAAGTTCGTGTATCTAGGTAGCTACATAAGTGCTGGTGGTGGCGTGGGTGATGAGATTGATGCACGTATAATAAGAGCCAGAGCGGCTTATGCCAATCTGGGCCATCTTTGGCGCCTTCGTGATGTTAGTCTGGCTGTAAAAGGTCGGATCTACAACGCGTCGGTGAGAGCAGTTCTGCTCTATGCTTGTGAAACCTGGCCTCTCCGAGTTGAGGATGTTAGACGACTCTCTGTGTTCGATCATCGTTGTCTCCGAAGGATTGCTGACATCCAGTGGCAACACCATGTTAGTAATGCAGAGGTTCAGCACCGTGTGTTCGGGCGCAGAGACGATAATTCAATTGATGTCACCATCCTGAAACACTGACTTCGGTGGCTTGGACATGTTTTACGAATGTCGTCCTAGAGACTTCCACGTCGTGCATTACTTGCCGACTCTGGGACTGGTTGGAAAAAGCGGAGAGGAGGTCAGTGTATGACATGGTGTCGTGGCATGAAAGAGAGCTGCAAAGGGCTAGCTTCTGTTGATCCTTCACGACTCCCTGGCTGGGGTCCGAGAGATGGTGCCACACAGTGACTAGAGACGTTATCAGATATGGCTCAGAATAGAAGCCAGTGGCGAGCCTGCTGTAACCTTCTTTTACTTTCTACATAAAGAGTGGTTCTAACTTTCTTAACTGAAAGTCTTCTGGTTGTACATTTTAGTCCGCCTTACCTTTTCATCCTTTCTCTTCCTACTTTCATTATTTTTTGTGGCGCATATGTATCTGGTGCCCTTTTGTACCAATATATATGTGTTTAAATAAATAAATAAAAAATCGCTAGGCAAGCCCCAACATGGAATCTGGAAGGGAAGCGGAAAAGAGGAAGGCAAAAGAAGATATCACTTCGGGAGATAGGAGCAGTCAGTCAGTCAGCTACAACGTAGGACCAGGCACATTTGTGCATCGGTCCAAGTTGCCATATCTCGTTAGCACAAAAAGATGAACACCAGATTCATAGTAGTTAATTTAGTGGTGTTAATATATAAAAGAAAGGTTGTATATAAGGATATAGTACAGAAAGGAAGAACGTTATGAAGCAATTTTAATCTTAAGGTTTAAGGGAACATAAAGAGTGTATACACCTACGCCATCGATTCTTAGCCACGTCACCTAGAGTCTCTAACCATTGGTTACGATCATCACGTGGATCCCAACCAGGTAGTCTGCATCTACGAACATGGCTCAGACTAGAAGTTAGTGACTTCAAACACTGATGCCACGTTCTGGTTTGGCCGCCCGTAACTCTTTTCCAACCATCCCCTACACTAGTCAGCATTGCGCGTCATGGTTATCGATGTTCAGGCATGTGTAACAAGTGGCCTAACCATCTCAGTTGATGAAGATTTACAACCTCATCAACTGATTTGCCATAATTCCCTAATTCCTTGTGTCTACTCTCACTATTACTTACCCGGTGATCCCAGCAGATGCGAGCAACATTTCTAAGGCATCTGTGGTCAAATACTAGTAACCTACGAGTATCTTCTACTCTTAATGGCCATGTTTCACAGCCGTAAAGTAGAACAGAGCGATCTGCTGCGCAGTATACTCGTCCCTTAATTGATAGACGTATATCTCGTCTTCGCCATAGGTGACGTAAGTTGGCAAAAGCCAAACGAGCCTTTTGAATCCGTGCTGAGATTTCGTCAGACACCAACCCATTAGGGCTGATCAGACTTCCAAGATAAGTGAAGTTGTCCACGCGTTCGACTACTTCACTCCCTATCCTTAGTTCAGGTGTTGACGCAGGCCAGTCCTGGAGTAACAATTTACATCTAGATGGGGAGAAATGCATCCCAAACATCCTGGCATTATTACTCAGATACGAGTAGGAACTGGAACGGATGGTTGAGGACTGAGTTCGATGGAGAATGGTGGTGGGTAGCCTATGCTCCTCCACGAGTAATCTATGTAGATGATTGAACAATGCCAAGATTATAATTACTGAGTCAACTACTTTTAACATGACAAAGGCTCTGAAATTAAACTGCAGGTGTGAACTAGCATTTATTTACAATCATTTATAAATAAGCTGGTACAATGGTGGGGGATAAAATATATATTTGTGTCATACAAAAATGAAGAAATAGAGGAAGGTGAGCATAATAAAATAGGAATAAGTCGATAGGAATAATAATGATAATAGTTATAATAACGATAATAACGGAAGCACCAGTTCAAACCCGTAAACACCAATAGAAAGGATTATTTCACATCACATTATTTTTTTTATTTATTTAAACACATAAATATTGGTACAAGAAAGCATCAGATACATGTGCGCCATACAAACCTCATTCGATTTGTGTGAGGGCTGTGATACTGCAAAGGTGCCAAGACTGAAGCAGGTGGTTTTCTTAAGGGGCTACATCCCGAGCCTTTGACCTGAAGGTCTAGTTCACAAGGCAGTGGAGCATCGTGAGGAGATGCAGTCCCATGGTAGCCAGTGACCAACGATTGATTCATACGCTATTTGTTCCCTAAGGATACTGGAGCTCATGTGCACCATTGGTTTGGAATCAGGGTTTTCCAACTCCCCTAGGTGAACTTTCCATGTCCACCAACGCGGTTAAAGCAATGGACATTCGCCTTTCGTCCTCTCAATTTCGTAAACAACACCCCCGCCACGAGGTAGTGAGTAGGACTTCCCTAGCAGAGGTTTTATATTCGCGTGGCCATGTAAGAGCATTTCTGGAGGCAGAGCGGACTCTTCCCACTCTCGGCCGTACCAGGGTATATGGGGGCATTTCACATCCTAGCCTAATACGAACCCCATCACGTTACTAAACCCTGTAGAAAGTATATATACACTTCAAGTTTCCAGATATATTATAGAAAATAGCCCCTTTGTGTTGCCTACATTCCGATTAGTTAACATATTGCATGAAGTCGTCCATAAAGCTTAGTTGTAAATTCCTTGTTTCAAGAGTAACTTAAACGACATACAATGCTTATTAAGTTCATAAGGTTTTAAGAAAAATTAGGATACAAAAACTAATATGAACTATAAAAGCAGTATATAGGCCACAGGAGATTGATTATCGAGTTTGACTACCGATAACATCCTCCTAGATCATAGAATATCCATTGATAACGTATATTTACTTGTACAAGCAAGTGAGTCAAAAATCTGAATTTTGACATTAACTATACACGCATATTCATCCGGCACAGAATTTTGTGGGCTAGTTTTTGCATTTCAAAACACAGTGAACAATACAATATAAGATATAAGAACGTTATGGGAAAGGACAAACCTATACTCGGTTTGGAAACCATCTCCTTTGCTTTCAAAAGACCGAACTTTGACAAGTCGACACATGCACGACAGAATCCTTTGCTTTTAGGATCATAAATATCTTCATCATCATCTTCATTTGCAGAAACACGTTCACCTTTTCTAGCCATGCTAATGTGACCTTGACCTTGGATCACGTCAAACTTCGAGCCACGATGCAAATGGTTGTGTCTTCAGACTTCGGTAATAAGGATCTATATTAATCCTTGCAACCTGTAATTGTGTGAAGGTTCGATCTTACTTTTAATGTATCAATAGGCGTTGATATTAAGTGTTCTGGCAGAGAATTCCCGTAATTCCCTACTCAGTGTGAGAAACGAAACTTCAGACGTAGACGATTTGATCTCGGTTTTCAAATGCTCTCCCGGATGATCAGTCCTAGATGGAAGGAAAAAACGGGAAATGTTAATACCATTGCCATCATTCAGTATACGATAAGCTAATATTAGGTAACCCGTAATCTGTGGTTTGATAACGGAAATAAGTTGAGGTGTCTCAATCTGTCTTCATACAATAGGCCAGAGAGACCTTTTACCATTTTGTCCTCCTCGTTGTTGAACTCTTACTAGTGTATTCGGGTCATGTTTGAAGTATTGACTCGCTGCCTGAATATCATATTCTAAGCGCGGTCTCACGAAAAATGGGTATAATATTCTAAATATTTATTTGTTGAAGTGCTGAAAAGACCCACGAATAGCCCATAACACCATAAAGCCTTTGGCAGCATCATCCTTGCAGCTACTCGTAGCTTTGAGTTAGTTGTTTATTATGACTTCTAAATCTTTATAGCCTATTACTGTGAATAACACAACTCCAAGTATTGTGCAGTGATACGAATCATCATAGTTATTCAATTCAGTCACCACATACTTGTAGGAACTCACTTCTTGCGACCATCCACCCATCCATCCGAATACCAAGTCGAGATTATCCTGTTATACTATTCTATCTAACATACTGTTTACGGATCTACAAATCGTGATGTCATCGATGAAGAGTAGAACGGATGGCTTTGGTAATTTATTTACATAAGGTAAAAAGAAAAGAAGGTGAAGGATTTCACCTTCGGGAACTCACTCTTTACAGGTTCCCACTCTGATGAAGCTTCATTTATCCTTACCCGCTGTCTCCTATCGCTGAGAAAGTCATTTATCCAGCCTTTGACCTTATAATTGATCCTAAAACTTTCCAGTTTTAATTTAAGACCCGGATGGGGGACCTTGTCAAAGGCTTTACTTAGATCTACGAAATCTATACCCACAGGAATATTTTCATCTCTCACTGCAGCCGAATCTTTCTTTCTAATGAGCAAATTTGTCAAGTATGACAGGCCTTTTCGAAAACCGTGTTGTTTCCTGGATAAAAGATTATGCCCTTCCACACAGTTCATAACAGCCGTCGGAATAATATTTGTCATTGGTTTTACAACCGCATTGGTTAGACTAACAGGCAGACAGTTACTAACTCTCTGCTTCCCGCCTTACACACCGGACTAATCATTGCGCCTTTTCAGTCTCCTGGCAGTCTGGACAGTCGCTGAGACATCAAACAATGTGGTTATAAATTCAGAAGTTACATTCAACAAGGTAAATATCGTCAGGACCATTAGACCTATCAGGTATGAGGTGGCCTTAAAACAGTACCTCTCAACAACTACAGGATCTATCGACAAGCCACCCCAAACACAATCAATAGTTGATCATTACTCATTGCTGAGAGAAAACACCACTAAAATATTTCGATAAAGCTTCAGCTTTTTCGGCCTAATCTCTTACCAATATTGACAGGTTTTGCTGTATCAAAAGTGATGGGATTCCATCACTTCTCTAAGTTCGCCACCTTATATATGAGAACGACCGTTTCGGACTATTTTTAAAACCCCTTACCAACGCTTGACAAGTATTCCTAATCTTGCAATAACTGAATCTGTACTGTTCTAGGCCAGTAGTGATGAACATTTTCCAATGCTTTTCCCTACGTCTAAGATGTTCCTTGACTTGTTTAGTTATCCATGGTGGACAGTTATTAGGTCTACGTAGTACTAGGCATTGTATAAACTAGGACGCATCTGAACTAAGCTTGCCTTTAAATAGAGACCATGTTTTTTCAACTGATGAACTGATATCTACTCAACAATCAGTCTTAGAAGCGCATTGCTGAATTACTGATATGTTAGCGAGGCTTAACCTTGGCGTATATCGTGTCACTAGGTTTAAACATGAATAGTAAAACATCGTGACCGCTATTCGCTGACGGTGAAAAACATCTAGACTGGCACTATCTCCGGTTGCATAAGTGATTACCAAGTCTCACAAAGAAGAACTTTGGTTTGGACCGAAACGTGTGGGTTTGGATATATGTTATACCAATGCATGTTCCATTACTGTTATCAGGAACCTACTATCAAAGAGTTTTTAGATCCTACCGTGGCCACCTCAGTCCAATTAATGTCAGGTGCATTAAAGTTTCCTAATATCAAACATCTGTTATTTTCACTCCACAGCTACATGTGCTCTAAAATAAAGTCAGCAGCTAGGCTGATTGGGCTGCAATAGGTGACACCGAACATAGGTGTACAAAATCACAGCTAACGACTTCCAAGCTTCAGTTATCATGGGATTTGCAAGCAAAGGGACGGATATTTATATTACTGTCTATGCATGAATGGACGCCACCTCTTTCCCTACATCAATATCTGTTGCATTTTTGGTAGCGGTATCCAGATGACTCTGGAGTAATGTCGAAGTCATGGACTAACCAAGTCTCCATCACAGCTTCAATAAGTGGTCTTAATTTGTCAACTAATAATCCTACTTTATAGAATTTATTTCTTAGACGACGAACACTTGAATGTAAAACTCCTAGGGAGAACGACCTATTCACACAGGCCTTGGTAGCGTCCTTACTCAAGACCTGGTTATTCGAAAACCCACTAATTAGAGATTTTCTTTACCTATTTGTTGACCGGTTTTCAGTCCACTTAGTGCCATCTTTTTTTATTCTATATTCTAGAGACTCCAGGTCTTCATGAAATGTCAGTATTGTGGTGACTTCTATCGCTATTGAACAGATCACATTGCTTCTCCGACCCTAGGATTACCTTGAGAAGTCTATTTAGTCGGGGTTCAACACTGTCGTCGGCCCTCTCACCTATTCTTATCTATGTTTCGACCTAAACTCCCTTAGAGTTATCTGGTAAGATGCCGCGTACAAATTCTCCGAGCTCTTCTTAATCATGCGTATGTCTAATTTTGGGATCACGGTCGTTTGGTTCTGGCAAATTACTTGCGATATTATTCAATGGGTTTACGTTTTTCACAGACACGTCTTACTTTTAGACTTTGTTTGTGTATTTTGTGACTCAGAATGGAATTTCACCAATGACTTGCCGACCAATTGCGCGTCGCTCATGGCTTTTTTCTTTCACATCTTTGTCTCTGTACTGTCGTTCATTTTTCGTCACTCAGGATAGCCACTTCGTGACTTTTAAGAATGGTGACAGTTTTGTTCGAGTCTTCAATTTCTGATGTGCAAGCTTGACTACTCACACTAATATCATGTGACATTTCACTCCTCTTTAGTTTCAACCTAGATTTTGCATTTCAGTCAATCACAGTTGGATGTGCTAACACGTCCCACAAAAGTCCATACTACACTGACACATTCTTCACTGTCAGTAATCGTGTTACCAGCGCAACCACCACCTTTTGTCATAGCCTTATCCTCACGGCAAAAAATACAGTGCAATGTGAGTTAGGCTTCGAGCACCTTTTGTATGTGGTGGGACGTAAACGAACACATGTTAAATTTCGGCTCATTATGTCAAGTGAGATGTCACGAACCAGCAATATTAATTTTGATTTGTTTATGCAAAATACCTTTTTAAATCGTGTTTAAAACGCTGAATTGATTTCACTTTGAGGATACGACTGGTATTCTAGTTTTAAAACTAGCGGCCAGTAGTACCTTCTATATTCAAAACCTTCTTACGCCCGATAGAAATCAGAAGTGAGAAGAGGAGAAGTAGGAAAGATATATTTGATACGTTACCAAGATTTCGAGAGGCGTTCGTTCTTAGCTAACTATTGAAACGTAGTAGCTGTGTCCCACACCAAGTTGAAACGTGATCTGGTACGGATGCATGACCGAAAAACTTCAGTTAAACAAGTCTACTTAAACAATGGTCAGCATCCAATGTCGAACACTTGATGAGATATTGATTTTGGGGAATTATTTACAGCTACAACTTCTTACCGGGCAGACTGGACAATTGGCTAAAAACAAAGTCTGCTCCATACCCTATAAATTCTGAAACAAAAAATGGACTTAAATAGCTTCAACGAAGAAGGGTGTGTCAGAATACCATGCTATATTTTATAATTACACATAATCCTATTCTTTCAGCTTCTTTCTGAACCACCTTCATTTACATAGTTCCTTATCCACTCATACCTTGTTTACATTTGTTTTCTTTAAATATTAGAGTGCTCTTACTTAATAAGTACCTTGATAACAACGAAATAGAATAAGCAGTTATACCCTAACTATTCCTCCATGAAAATTGTCTGCTCTGCTTCTTAAATCTTCTTTTTTCTAACACCTTTTTTCAGCCCCTATGAGATACTTCCCCAGAAACAGATATAGAACAGGTGACTTCGTCCTACACCATTATTAAAGCCTGTAATTATATGATGCAAGTTAAATTAGAGTTATATATTAGAATTACGAATTAGTTTTATGGTATTGACAACGGACTAACATCAGGGGTAGTTTAGTTCTACCTCACCACCCCTTCGTTTATCAACTGTAAACCACAAGACTTAAGACATGGAGGCAAAAGTTAAAGTGAGACAGTGCTTCTCAACTAGAAACATACTCTTGACTGTGCACCAAATCACATCACGTAGTCTAACACAAACTTGTATTGTCCATCAAATGTAGTCACTTCTCATGATCTAGCTTCAGGACTACACCATATTCAATTTTTCGCTGCATAGCATATGTTTTTTGAATCTTTTTCAACTATTTTGATAACCGAATGCTGCCCATTTTTATTTAGTTAACCTTAGAATACAAATTATCTAGTGCTGTACTTTTAGTCCCTTGCAAA